TGAGTATAATTTAATACAAAATGAAATACCAATAATTATGGTCGGCGGAATAAGGCTGATGCACCATAATCCAAATAGCCATTCCATTTATGTGAACCAAATCTAGGCCTACATACAATTGAGTTTGGATACTGCAAGTAGACATTCCATTGACGTGAACCAGGCGTACCATTGGCATTGGATACTGCAAATAGACACTCCATTTATGTGAATCAAATGAACCACTGCTTTGGACCCTGCAAGTAGACAATTCATTTACATGAACCAAATGCAACATTGAGTGTGGATACTCCAAGTAAACAATTCGTTTACGTGAACCCGACGTATCATTGACTTTGGATACTGCAAGTAAACAATTCGTATCATTAACTTGGAATACTGCAAATAGACATTCCATTTATGTAAACCGTCAATGCGTACCATTGACTTTGGATAATGCAAATAGGCATTTTATTTATCCGATCCAAATGTATCATTGGCATTGGATGCTGTAATTAGACATTTAATATATGAGAACCAGATGAAACATAAACTTTGGTTCCTGCAAGTAGACAATTCATTTGCGTGAACCAGACTTATAATTGACTTAGAATACTGCAAATAGACATTCCATTTAAGTGAAACAAATATACCATTGACATTGGATCTGCAAGTATCTCATTTGCGAGGAACAGATGTAAAATTGACTTTAGAAAAGTATTGGATTAATATGCTAGCTCCGCTCAATATTGCAAGCATACAACTGCATTGCACACCTAGTTAAGTCTTACTTTTTTGCGCAAGAGTTTCATCTGTAAAAGCTTTACTTTTCTTCTCAGCATTTTTTTCGTTAGTGTTCTTAGAAATGAAGTTTGAGTTTGGCGATTCATGCTTTTCAAAGGGGTGATAACCTTCGTGCTCTCTTTGTTGTTCTTTAGCTCCAAACCCGTGGTTTGGCTTGGAGCTTCAATGTTCTTGTGATGCGACACAGTAGTTTGGCTTGTAGCTTCAAAGTTTTTGGGATGCGACACAGTAGTTTGGCTTGGAGCTTCAATGTTCTTGTGATGCGACACAGTAGAATGGATTGGAGCTTCAATGTTCTTGTGATGCGACACAGTAGTTTGGCTTGTAGCTTCAAAGTTTTTGGGATGCGACACAGTAGTTTGGCTTGGAGCTTCAATGTTCTTGTGATGCGACACAGTAGAATGGATTGGAGCTTCAATGTTCTTGTGATGCCACACAGTAGTTTGGATTGGAGCTTCAAAGTTTTTGGGCTGCGAAACAGTAGTTTGGCTTGGAGCTTCAAAGATTTTGGGCTGTGACACAGTATAGTTTGGCTAGAAGCTTCAAAGTTTTTGGGCTGTGACACAGTAGTTGGGATTGGAGCTTTAAGGTTTTTGTGTTGTGACACAGTTGTTTGGTTTGTAGTTTCAAAGTTTTTGTGCTGTGACACAGTAGTTCGACTTGGAGCTTCAATGATTATGGGCTGCGACACAGTAGTTTGGTTTGGAGCTTCAAAGTTTTTGTGTTGTGTCACAGTAGTTTGGTTTGAAGTTTCAAAGTTTTCCTCCCTTCCCATAGAATTTTAGGAATGCAGATACCTTAATTTAATCGTCATAAACAGTACCCACACTCCGGACAGCTCGCCTTTACTACTTCCTCCACCACTTCCTACGTCACGGACCTATTTCCCTCCCTTTCCATAGCATTTTAGGATTGCAGATACCTTAATCTAATCGTCATAAACAGTTCCTACACTCCGAACGACTCGCCTTCACTACTTCCTTCACCACTTCCTACATCGGGGACCCGTTTTCCTCCCTTCCCATAACATTTTAGGAATGCTATGGGAAGGGAGGAAAACACCAACAAGATACCTTAATCTAATTGCCATAAACCGTTTCCACACTCCGGACAGCTCGCCTTGACTATTTCCTTCACCACTTCCTACGTCGCGGACCCGTTTTCCTCCCTTCCCATAAAATTTTAGGAATGCAGATACCTTAATCGAATCGTCATAAACAGTACCCACACTCCGGACAGGTCGCCTTGACTACTTCCTTCACCACTTCCTACATCGCAGACCCGTTTTCCTCCCTTCCCATATCATTTTAGGAATGCAGATACCTTAATCTAATTGTCATAAACAGTTTCCACACTCCGGACAGCTTGACGCGAATTTTGGATTGAGGATTGAGTTATGTCTTGTCCAATAAGTTGTTTTAATGTGGAAGCGTATTTATAAATTTAGTTGAGTAAAGTTTAGTAGTTTAGTTTCAAGTTTCTTTGGTTATTACTAAATATAAGTTAGGAATGTGATTAGTTCTATGGATTGAATTTAGTTTAAGTCACAAGAAAAAAGAACACTTATTTCATCCAGTTTAGTTTTCATTCCAAAAGGTATTAGTTTATTTACAATCACAAAAAATATCATATGTGTTATAAAGCATATGAAAATAAAAACATTTGTTATGTACAGTCTCATGGCTTAGCCACACTCCCACGGAACATAAAGAGAATTTTTAAGTCTTACTTTTTTGCGCAAGAGTTTCATCTGTAAAAGCTTTACTTTTCTTCTCAGCATTTTTTTCGTTAGTGTTCTTAGAAATGAAGTTTGAGTTTGGCGATTCATGATTTTCAAAGGGGTGATAACCTTCGTGCTCTCTTTGTTGTTCTTTAGCTCCAAACCCGTGGTTTGGCTTGGAGCTTCAATGTTCTTGTGATGCGACACAGTAGTTTGGCTTGTAGCTTCAAAGTTTTTGGGATGCGACACAGTAGTTTGGCTTGGAGCTTCAATGTTCTTGTGATGCGACACAGTAGAATGGATTGGAGCTTCAATGTTCTTGTGATGCCACACAGTAGTTTGGATTGGAGCTTCAAAGTTTTTGGGCTGCGAAACAGTAGTTTGGCTTGGAGCTTCAAAGATTTTGGGCTGTGACACAGTATAGTTTGGCTAGAAGCTTCAAAGTTTTTGGGCTGTGACACAGTAGTTGGGATTGGAGCTTTAAGGTTTTTGTGTTGTGACACAGTTGTTTGGTTTGTAGTTTCAAAGTTTTTGTGCTGTGACACAGTAGTTCGACTTGGAGCTTCAATGATTATGGGCTGCGACACAGTAGTTTGGTTTGGAGCTTCAAAGTTTTTGTGTTGTGTCACAGTAGTTTGGTTTGAAGTTTCAAAGTTTTCCTCCCTTCCCATAGAATTTTAGGAATGCAGATACCTTAATTTAATCGTCATAAACAGTACCCACACTCCGGACAGCTCGCCTTGACTACTTCCTTCACGACTTCCTACGTCACGGACCTCAAGCTAGTGTCGTCATTTGATTATATTTATGATCCATACAGTTTCTGTTCTATTAATGCTATTAGCTATTTCTTTATCTACTGCATTCAAAAGTCAACAGCTGATCATATGTGTGTTTTTGTTTATGTGTCAAATACTGCTTTCATAAGGATTACATTGAAACTTTGTGACCCAGTGGGGCGGATTCCTGAGAGACTTATTTAACGCCATATAGATGTTGGCACTCACCAACATGGTCTTTATCACTATGCAAAATTTGAAAACGATTGATTCAGCCGTCTAGGAGGAGTTTGCGTATTACGAAATGCATAAGAGTCGACGTATAAGAGCTTCGCTCGCTCCGCTCAATGATATAATATTGCATTGTCCATTTGTGAGCTATGTTTCAAGTTTCAAGTCTCTAGCTCATCGGGACCTCCGTTTAAAATTGATATAAAAATTTGTAGGAAAGCGAGCTAATAAAAACAAGTCCATGGGCCGTAGCCCAAGGGAAATATGAAAATAAAATGATATAATATTGCATTGTCATCCATTTGTGAGCTATGTTTCAAGTTTCAAGTCTCTAGCTCGTCGGGAAGTCTCAAAATTTGCAAGAAAGTGAGTTAATAAAAACAAGCCCATGGGGCGTAGCCCAAGGGAATATGAAAATTAAATTATATAATATTGCATTGTCTTCCATTTGTGAGCTATGTTTCAAGTTTCAAGTCTCTAGCTCATCGGGAAGTTAGTATAAAATTGATTGCAAAATTTGTACGGGACAAGAAAGCGAGCTAATAAAAACATTTAAAATAGCCGCTCCTTTAGCCCATATCATTACTTAATATATCATCATCATCATATATTTTAAAACGTGACAGAGTTTTTTTATTTCACGATTCTGAATCAACCTCATGACGGATTTTCATGACTTTAGTGTTGAAAGAAATATAATTTTGAGAACTAGGGAATGTCGAAGCCATAATTTTAGTTTAGGGTTTCTGTTTTTTAGAAATTAAGCTTTAAATTTTAAAAATTCTAGTAGCCAACGCTAACATTCTACTCTAGCTTTTGGTACCATTTGCTTAACGTAACAGCTGTAAACATTCAGCATTTTTTACACAAATTCAGCATTTGGATGAAAATTAAATTGCATACATAGAATTGACTTTTATAGTATGTGTAATGCTATAATCATCGATACGTTCATTTATTCGTTAAGGGGATGAGATTATTTAAATATACCTACATAGTAAAATACTAGATGTTCTAATTTATTTTTTTGAGCAGTCATTAAGATTTGCAGTTTGTTTTAGTGCAATATAATTTGTTGGTTGAATAAAAAAATATTCTAAGAACTATGAAGTTCGCTTATTTACTCTGTGATTTAGTCATTTTGATTATAGGAAATAAGTAAGATTCTATAACCATTGCTGTATATAATCAAGGCTCTTATTTTATGTTTACTAAAATACCTGTTTCGAAGTGGTAGACTATTTTGCTGTTTACAAGATGATTTTACCCATGGCAGAATTTGTCTAAATGTGTGTAAACTAGCTGTTCTGAATTATATTCAGTTTTAGTTGACTACCTACCCAATTCCCGTACATAGGACGGCCTACAGCTCGTTTTAAATGAATTTGCAGTTCAAATTTAAACCTTCAGAAAGCTTACCACTAATATTTATTTAGTTACTCGTGATTTTTGCAAAACATTTTAAAAGGAGAGAATAAAATAACAACTACGATAATGTAGGCTATATATTTCAATAACAAAAAATAAAAGTAATATTTCTTTAAGACCACAAAATATTCTATATAAGGTCTTCCTAATCATAAGTGATACAGGTACTTTAACTATGTATACAATATGATGGCATGATATTTCTACAAGGTTAGAAAGTATTTTTATCATTGTTAGGCTCGTAGTTGGGTTTAAGCTCAAACTTCCAGACTCGGTTTGGTCCAATCTCGACGACATAGAGAGAATGTCCATCTTGAGAAATAGCGATTGCGTGAGGGTTGTTGAAAGCCTGAAATAAGATATTGTGTTTTTAGTTCAACATTTTCACCTTTGAGGGTGAGAAAGCACAAATATCAGGGAATCTTAGCATTTAAAAAACTTGAAATGGCTTAATGCTGTCCATGTAGTTTCATTGACTATTATAGGTAGTACAGATATACTTGCTTTCTCTCATTATGATTTTGTTTTGGAGTATCGACTCCAATAGACCAGCTGAAGTCAGTGTTTTCCTTAAGTAATAAATGCTTGTTAAAGCCTCTCATAGTGTGCTACGATTGTTGTATTTATATTTTCTCTTTAAGCTTTTATACTGTGGTAGTTTATGAGGGCATAGAATGTGCTAGAGTTTACAATAAGTTTCCATTTTAGTTGGACTAAGTTTAAAAAGTGGAACACCCTTTACAAGTTGGAGATTAAAAATTTAAAAGGACTACATAGTTTAAATACTTAGGAGTGAACATAGACCAATAACACAAAGACTAAGTATTGACGAATGTCAGATTATTTCTGAGGAATGAATGTTATTGGGCCCTTTAAATCATTGCTAAAAATTAGACTTTTGTCAAGGAAAACCAAAACAAAACTCTACAAAATGATAATACAGCCAGTAATACACGAATCTGAAACCTGTATATTGACAAAGAACCAAGAAAAGATATGAATTTTTTATATAAAATACTAAGAATTATGTACGGTCCCGTTAGTGAAAATGGTTTGTGTAGAATCAGGACAAACAAAGAACTAATAGAAATCTATACAGACCCAGACGTAATACGCCAAATAAAAAGTAGGAAACTATTGGGCCGGTCATGTTAAGAGAAGAAAGGAAGATTCAATGCTAAGAATGGTGTCTGAAAATCTTTCTCTTGGAAGACGACCACTAGGACAACCTCAGCTATAATGGCAGGACCAGGTGCGAAGAGACGTAATAAAGCTCAGAGCAGAGACTGAATGGATGGAAGACATAGAAAGGTGGCGACCTGTTGTTGGTGAGGCCAAATACCTACTGAGATTTGAGTGGCCACAAAGGTAAGGTAAGTTAAAAAGTTTATATAGAAGAAAAAGATGTTTGAAAGCAAGCAAACTGACTACAATTCAAACATAGACAATTGAATGTATACTTTACGGTGGTGTCCCTAAAGTCAAATCCATTAGAATTAATTAACTTTGTTTTGTATAGTAAAGAAGTTTAAGTTCTGCTTTAAAATTTGAATTGGAAGGAAAATCCCTCGCTTATCTCTACAGCAAACATTGCTAATTACTCAACATGGTAATATAAACAGAATTAACATTTGAATTGACATTATGTTTCCATAACATATGGTTGGATCATTTTCATCATACCGTGGAGGTTGGTCCCCAATGGTCCAGCATAGTCTCAGCCAAAGGATCGAGTGTAAACCCTTGGGTGGGAATAGTGGGGGATGTTTTGCCATTAACTGCATACACCAAATCTCCTGCGAACAAAGGGGGAGTTTACATTTTCATTCATAACTTTTGATAGTTTATTTATTTGAGCTGTGGCAGATCATTTTGAACATTTTTAGGATATCCTCTCAGCAATAATAATAAAAGCAGCTGTTAAGTGTTATCATAGACTAACCAACACAAGTAGACTTCTCATCCGATTGTAAATTTTGAAGCACGTTTTTCGTGTCTAGTTCATGTACGGTGACACTGGGTGCTAGTGTCAACAAAATTTTGTTTCTATTATTTTAGGGTTAATTTCTTGATTTGTGCTTTACTGTTTGGTTGTACAACTAAGGGACAAGTTATTGTTTATGATTAGAGCGTATTATTTGGTTAAACGAGGTTTTAAAGTACTGTAATAACGGGAAACAAATTGGAAACAAAACACGACCTCTGCATAAAACGTACAGAACTACCAATAAAATTGTCTTCAGCTGTTCCATAAGGATGAGAAATCTACTAAGAGAGTGTCTTTTATCTATGGTGTTATTTACTTGTCATTCTTTTTGAAAATTCTATTAAACTGTAAAAATTAGAGAAAACTAAAAGCGACTTCTAAAGGATAATTAATTTCTTTCTCTCCATCACGGAAGTAAATTATAGGAGTAAGTGCCGGTCATGTCTAGTTGACCACTGGTTTACATCTTCTTATATACTCTTGGCCATAAAATTCCTAATTACTGGAATGTAAATAGTTAATTGAAAAATTTAAAAATTGCAATGATAGTTAATACTTAAATACTTTTTCGATACTTTTTCTTTGAAATGGCAACGATACAAAGGTAGGTATTTTAAGCCAAGTATGAAAATGTAGATGAGTGTAGGATGAGTGACGCGATCTTGTAGTCTTGTTAGTGACTGAGCCCGACATATTCCTTAGACACAGTTCTCTCTGTCACTACCCATACCTACCATGAGAAGCAATACCAAAGACTCTGCCCAAGTCAGGTTGTTGTATAGTGAAGGTAAGACCAGGTCCAGGAGATCTGTCCCTCAACTTGGCTCCTATACAAGCTACCCTCATGTTCTCTCTGTCCCTACCTATACCTACCATGAGAAGCAATACCAAAGACTCTGCCCAAGTCAGGTTGTTGTATAGTGAAGGTAAGACCAGGTCCAGGAGATCTATCTCTCAACTTGGCTCCAATACAAGCTACCCTCGTGTTCTCTCTGTCCCTACCTATACCTACCATGAGATGCAATACCAAAGACTCTGCCCAAGTCAGGTTGTTGTATAGTGAAGGTAAGACCAGGTCCAGGAGATCTGTCTCTCAACTTGGCTCCAATACAAGCTACCCTCATGTTCTCTCTGTCCCTACCTATACCTACCATGAGATGCAATACCAAAGACTCTGCCCAAGTCAGGTTGTTGTATAGTGAAGGTAAGACCAGGTCCAGGAGATCTGTCCCTCAACTTGGCTCCTATACAAGCTACCCTCATGTTCTCTCTGTCCCTACCTATACCTACCATGAGAAGCAATACCAAAGACTCTGCCCAAGTCAGGTTGTTGTATAGTGAAGGTAAGACCAGGTCCAGGAGATCTATCTCTCAACTTGGCTCCAATACAAGCTACCCTCGTGTTCTCTCTGTCCCTACCTATACCTACCATGAGATGCAATACCAAAGACTCTGCCCAAGTCAGGTTGTTGTATAGTGAAGGTAAGACCAGGTCCAGGAGATCTGTCTCTCAACTTGGCTCCAATACAAGCTACCCTCATGTTCTCTCTGTCCCTACCTATACCTACCATGAGATGCAATACCAAAGACTCTGCCCAAGTCAGGTTGTTGTATAGTGAAGGTAAGACCAGGTCCAGGAGATCTGTCTCTCAACTTGGCTCCTATACAAGCTACCCTCATGTTCTCTCTGTCCCTACCTATACCTACCATGAGATGCAATACCAAAGACTCTGCCCAAGTCAGGTTGTTGTATAGTGAAGGTAAGACCAGGTCCAGGAGATCTGTCTCTCAACTTGGCTCCAATACAAGCTACCCTCATGTTCTCTCTGTCCCTACCTATACCTACCATGAGATGCAATACCAAAGACTCTGCCCAAGTCAGGTTGTTGTATAGTGAAGGTAAGACCAGGTCCAGGAGATCTATCTCTCAACTTGGCTCCAATACAAGCTACCCTCATGTTCTCTCTGTCTCCAATACAGAGAAGGTCGCGGTGTTCCAGCAGGGCCAAGCTGTGGGGAACTTCTAGAGACAGAAACTCTGAAACAATAGAAATATAAGCTATTGGTAACAAAATATTTCTTTATCATTGTATTCTTGCATCTGAAACCTCTGACTGTGAATTGACTGAGAGTTTCAACTATCCTATTGGTTATCCAACCTTTATACGTATTCGTATTATCCTAACCATCCTCCGGGAAACAATCAAGTATCACAAAACCATCTACCTCTTCTCACCTACCCCTCAGTTCTCAAATCTTAGTCTTGTTATGAGCTACTACTTTGAGGTGTACAATCCACAACTCTACGTTAAGTTAGACCCAGTTTTATACTAAAAATTAGTTCAGAACAATTGAGCCACTGACAGAGAATGCTGCGGTAATTTTTTTTTTTTATAAACAGTCACATACTTTCCCTCACTGAAACTCTATAATCATCCATTGTAAGGATCTTACATTAAGTCTATGTTCATGCCAGGCCACTAAGGTCTGGATTTACTTTCCCTCAAAATAGGCACGTAGGTAACAACACCAAATAATGAAATATTCTAGCATGAAAAATTACAAGAGAAAATACAACACAGTATGACGCTAATTAACTTAATGTTATCTTTTAGTAAAAAAATATATACCTTGAGCTCTGGGTCAGATGGAATGTTTTCTTGAGTGCCCAAAATCAGAGGCAAATCAATATATGTTTTTGTAACAAGTATACTGTAATTGGTCACTTATTGAAATCTATAGCATCTTGTGCCCCCTCAACTACCTCGGTAACAAAGAATAAGTAGGAAAATAGGATTTTAGACACTAGCGCAATCTCTGACTAGATCACAGAACTATGATCTTTTCAGTGGCATATCCAGAGGGGGTTTAGGGGTTTGAACCCACCTGCCTTTGACCTTAAAACGTGATTATTTTACAATCAAAATTTTTTTCCTACAATTACAAAATCCCTCTTGACCTCCGTTGTAATCCCCCCCCCCCTCCTCCTTAGGGTCATCCTAGTTACGCCTATGGTTCTTTCTGCCAAAAGAAAATGCCAGTAGCTGATCTATATAGATAAAATGCCTACTTCAGTATCCAGATTGAATGTTAAAACTAATGAACAAAGATACCTGGGTCCAGTTTCTTCTAAAAGAGTGAGTCTTAAAATATAAAAAAAACCTTTTAAAAACTCCTGGATAGAAATGCTATAAGGTAAAACAACATGTTAAATTTTCAATATAAAATAAAACCTATAAAATTACTGTCTTATAGCTCCAAACATTACACATTATATTACTATTACAATATTCGAACAAGAAAAATCCTCGGCTTATTCACTTGAACTGGTTTCTAACTTTCTATCAAGAAATACCTTGCTTCTGAGGGAAGACTCGGATGAGATTTCCCATTCCATCGAACTTGAGAATGCGAGAGTTACAATATCCATCTGCTACGAAGATCTCCCCAGTGGACGCAACAGCTACAGAAGTCGGCTGACAAAGTTCACGAAGTCCGTCACCGTGCTTGAACCTCTGACCAAAGGTAAGACCAGGTCGCCGCGCCCCAGGCGAGAACTGGACGACAACATTAAGTTGTAACCCATGGTGTGTAAAAGTTGCAATCCCAAATTATTATGACACCTCACAATGTTTAAATGAAGAGTTAAGACCATAGGAGTGTGTCTTTAAAAGTTGATGCAAAAGAATATTTCTGTCAATAAAAGTAAACAGTCACACAACTTCAAAGCACTATTGTGATCTTCAGGGTACAAAGCAATCACTCTAACATGTTTTGACATTTTCATTTTTTCCAGGTGCTATCTTTTTCCATCCACGCCAATAGCATTTATTACGTGTTAAAAGGGAACAGTACAAGCCCTGGTCTTGTTACTATCTAACGTTGACCTTTTGGTAAATAGCATCTTTAGTTAACACAATGACACATGGTAGTAACAATCTCGCTTGGAATCGCAATCGAACCAGTAACCTTCAGATATGAAGGCAATCACTGCAACCCCTTGGCTACCCAGACAATTGATTAATGAATTATTGTTGAATAATCTTGAAAAGCTGTCATGGGACACTCTTGCTAGGTAACTAAGTCAGAGAAGTGATCATTTGTTACTAACTTGAAGATGGCATTTGCAATGATGCTGAAACCTCAGCAAATGTTGGTGATGTGTAATTTTTACCCTGAAGACGACTGTGTGCATCAATCATAATCAAAACACAATGTTGTAATAAATCAAATATACGTATCAAAATGACAAAATAAGTGTTATTATGTTTAATTTATAATATTGGATACTGTAATATAAGTCACCTTAAAGACTTGGTGAAGAGCAGTGTCGGTAAGCCAAGTGTTTCCCTCCCAGTCTACGTGAATTCCATGAGGCATGTAGAAGAAATCTCGTCCCCAACTGCTGAGAACCTGAAAAGAAAATTTTTGTGACTTCTTTGCTAAGCTTAATGTGCAAAATACAGGATGTTATAGCCATAGGTTTAGCATGACTTCATGACAATGCCTGTAGGAAAGCTAAGAAAGGATTACCCAACGATTCCAGTTATTCAGCTTCAGCTACCAGCTCTGATCAAGGAAAGGATTTTGTCCTCACACTTATGTATGAAAATGTGTCTTGGGATTGACTCCAGTCAATCACCAATGGATTTTTAATAATTCCTTGGTTAGGAACACAATATAAGGTAGGTTAATCTAAAAAAATATGGGTCTTTTCTTTTCTAAGTGAGAACTCGTTCTCTTTACCCTACTAACTCGGTGAAAGCTTAAGCTGCAATAAAAAACTATAAGGTATGATAGTTTTGTCATTCTTACACTTCCCAAACACCAGGCCCGGGGTTTGCATGTGACATGCAATTGGCCAGAGAGATATTTGCCTGGCCTCCCCCTTCCTTACGGGGGAATTGTTCTCATCCTTGCCCCCCACCCCCAACAAACCTTGCTCCCCTGGGCCTGACCCTACTTACTTAAGTTGGCCCTTACCACACACAAATTGGTAGCTGCCTTTTTTTAATGTAAGCAAAATCCTACCATCTTTACTGGGACCTCCCAATCTACATTAGAAGTTTCAGTGTCAACACAAGTACCTTACCTTGCCAGAGTGAGGATCCAAAACCAGAACAGTATCTTCTCGGATTGGGCCTTGCTCACGATGCTGGAAGTCTTTGGTTACATTGAATGAACTAAAACATGTAGTACATTATAAAACAGTGAGAGCAACCAAAGAATGAATCAGTCAACCAAATCCTATTGATAAAGATATTTTAAGATAGTTTTAATTTTAAAATGCACTACTCATCCGATTTTGATATCAGGATATCAGTAAAAAATTAAGATCATTCTTAAATTTAAGTCTGCACTTTACCATTGACTATACACAGAGTGTAATACACTCTTAATGGTTTTACCTTAATTTTTGTCAATTCAACATTGAGTTTATATAGGACACAATATCAGCTCTCTCGTGCATTTAGACAGATTTATCTCCATGTGCTGTCCATAATGACAACAACATATTTATCCCAAAACTCTGGAAGCTTTTACTATTACTCATTCAACCCTACTAGATGTTTAGTACACAACTGGATTATTGTTTAGAAAATTTCCCTAAGTTATTGTCTTGCATTTTGAAATAGAATACTATAAAACATATCTCATTAAAAAAATTGTGCCAAAAAGGCATCTTAACCCATTCCTGCCTAAAGACAGGCGGCGCCCGTCCTAGCGCGTTAGGTTACGAAAGACTAAAGACGGGCAGCGTCCGTCCCCACGCATAATGCATTATTTTGCGTTATTATTAGGCTTATTATGCATTATTATTGATTTACCTAATTTTTCCTAATGTTTTAATTAGTTACAAAAGTAATATAATGATGCTTAGAATATTATTTTCCATTTATTTCAATACTCCCAACACTTAACTAAGTACACATGAAATTTTGGTGCAAAAATTGTATTAGGCCGAGGCCTATTTTGCCGTTTTGCAGTTTTACAAAAACAGCTATAAACCAAGTAAAGTTTTTTGTGTAACAAATTGAATACTATTTAAAAATTTGACCAATAGATTTTATTTTTATTTTTCAAGGTTTGCTTTCAAAAAACAAATTTTATTTGCATATATAAAAATGCAAAAGCCTACTATATGTATGAAAAATTGCTATAAAATATTTTTATTTAATATTAGTGTCTTATAAAAGGAAATTTTATGTAGATCAATTTAAGCACAAGTGTTAGGCATTTATTTCATAAATTACATTTTTAATGAGTTTTTTACTAAAACATTGTACATTTTGGCCCTTTTTTACTCAGTACTAGGTAAAAGTTCTTGTTGCAGTTCTTGTTATATGATACTTGACAAATAACTCAGTCAGGAATGGGTTAAAACCCTCACATCCCTTACCAAATTGCAACATCCTCTAATAAGAATAGAGGGTAAGTGTGCATCTGATGAAACAACAACCCTCTCGCTTCCATTATACCTGACCTCAGGGCAGGCTGTAAATTTTTCTATAAGAACAACATGGGAACTTTAAATTAGAATTTCTTTGAATTTTCTTTGTAACTAATAATTGTACAAAAACACTTTAATATACTAAATTATTTTTGTTTTAAAATCTTTAAAATTTTCTAGAGAAAAATTGGCAAATTTTGTGTTTTGTGGGTAAAATATGAGAAAACCCCTTTTTTACCCCATAAAACCCCGTTGCCATGGTCCGTTGATGCTGGTTCACATGCTCATTCAAGTCAATCCCGCCCTACACCTTTAAGCAAAATTTCATCAAAATACGACAAAAATTGCTCAAGTTATCGCGTTCACGGATAGATATAGAGTAATCCAGTAACTAATATATAAATCTATATAAAATATTGCCTACATGTATAACATTTTGAACAGATGGTGTTTTTGGCCTCTGGGGACATCAAATCGAAAAAGTAAATCGGTCCCGGGTCCAAGTTTTACTATGAGACCTACGGTAATAGCTTATTGCCTATTCTTTGTTTGAACTTCTTTCGTTCTTTGTTTCTTTGTTTGTTTGTGTGTTTGGTTGTTATTGCCTATATTCGTGCACATGTCGAAAGAGAGTGTCTCGGATGCTAGCAGCCTATAGTATAAATGGTATAATGCACCTCATTTGAACCAATGCCCACAACGTGCATCCCGGGAGGCAAAAAGTAACCAGACGCTCGAATTTCAGCGTTGCCAGCTGGGATGCACAAAATCGAGCATCTGGTGGCTTTTTTAACTTCATAAACTGGCATCCCTAGTCTAATCACCCCCATCTCATTTAATGCCCTACTAGCGTCCTGGTATAATCGTAGCCGTAGCCTAACATTCAAAATGCCATTTAAGCAAGACAACTTCTCAAACAAATAGTACTTGACTTACGTAGCATCCCACACTCGCGGACCTCTATGGAAGATGACAGGCTGGCCCACATGGTTGACTGTCACTCCGCTAACTTGTCCGATCTTGCCCAACAGACTCTCTCCCCACCCTTCCACCTCCTGGGGGTGTGGTGGCAGCACTGGCTCATCCTACCAACACATTGCAACAGTGAACCTAAACAACTATAGCCTAGTGTACCAAAATACTATTACAATACTAATACACACTAATACTATACACAACATATAATATGTTTGGGTTCAGATACAACAAAAATTGAGAAAAATATGCTTTTTAAAAACACCTTGAAATCCGCCATTTTTTTATCAATTTATATCTTATCCATCCTATACAGGGTTGGGCAAATGTGTGGATACCCCTAGTTAGCTTTTTAATGGGTGATACCAGGAAAACTTAACTCCACATACCTTCATAAAAGATAAAACTGCACTTTTTGGACGGTATCCCAATTTTTCCCGGGACCCCAAAATGGGGTATTTTGGGGGTAGCTCCAAAATTTTAAATGTAAAGCCCCATCAAGTGACACCTCATTAAAAAACATACCTCATTTTAAAGGCCTTTATTAAAGAAGAATATCAGTGAAAACTAGAGGTCTCTATCTCAACCAAGTACGACATGACGGCCATTTTATTAAATTTTCATCAGCCTGAGAGAACCATAACTTAAATGTAGGCATCAATATCCCATATTAACTTTTTAGCGAGTTATACCAGGAAAACTAAACTCCGCATACCTTCATAAGAAACAAAAATTCACTTTTTGGTCACTTTTTGGTTAACTTTTTGGACCAAAAAGTGAATTTTTGTTTCTTATGAAGGTATGCGGAGTTTAGTTTTCCTGGTACAACCCGCTAAAAAGTTAAAATGGGCTCAAAAACAAGAAAAAAATAAGTTAAAATTAAAAAAAAAAACATGGGATTTATGGGTTGCTATGTTAGTGACGAAATAACAACAATTAATATAATCAGAAAATCAAAACAAATTAAAGAACTTCCAATCACATGTTTTATTTACAGCGTGGGGTGAAAGTAGAGAAGTTTGCACAATATATCCTTTTGGTCGAGTTTTCAACCACGGGCCGAGCTCTCGTGAATAAGTCAATAAGTCATTTATTATATTATTTATCCATTTTAAATTTCCTACCAAACAAAATCAAGTCCCAAAAAATATTGAATACTTAACAGCTGGGAGGAGTCACAATTTTAGATGCAAAGTGAAGAGATCCCTTTGAGCTAGGTAAGTAATAAACGTGATAATGCTTTATCTGGAATCAATTGATGATGTATTGATAGCAACCACAAAAAACGTTGATTTCACGAATTTGGAAGGACATAAAATATGTAGGCTACTCTTGGTCGCTTCTTCTTCTTCATTTCCATTTCAAATTTTAGGTTTTATTTAGATATTTCTCTTACACATCTAGAGTTTTTATTGTAATTGAGTTTAAGTAGGTATTACGATTAAAATAATGATTTCAAACAAACCGTAGTCAATTACTGTAACTTAGTTTTCAAAATACATTCACTACGACAAACATTTAAATTTTTGCCACTTCAGTTGAGGGATACTTAATTCACTGTATATTATGAAAACTCGTCTGCAGGATATTAATACCAAAAACATCTTTGAAAACTCGTAATATTGGAAACGCCAAACTAGTCCTGATAAAGTCAGAAAAAACTCACATTTTATTCCAAATCAGAAAATATTTTTAAGAACAGTTTGTTATCAATGAAATCTGTTACGATATGCCAACAATGTTAACACAAGACCCACGTTCTCTACTTACGTAAGCTGACGGAGGGGCTTCGTTCAACACATTCTGAATCTGATTATAGAAAAGTTCCTGCAGCGTGTTTCCTGCACATAGTTGATACGATAGCAGAAGACAACTCAACTGCAGGAACGTATATACCGCCATCTTGGACGGCGATCGATGCTTGCGGAGACGCTAGCGCTAGCGCCACTTTGCGGCCCTCGCGGTTGTAGCTAGACAACATCGATCAGTTGTCAATATCTTTCAAAGTTTAAATAAAAAACAAATTGTCTGTATTCTGTTAATTTGCCTAAAACTTAAAATGTGGAAAATTGTGGTTTTAGCTAATGGACCTTAACATTGAGTAGGGCCCATACTTAGTTTAAAATATTTAATGTATTCGGTAACCTTTTGTTTTCGTTATTGTATGTCTCTGAATGCTGGGAAAGAAAGTGGAGGCCGTAGGCCGCTAGCAACAGTAGCAACCACTTACTATATTTTATCTGATCTTTCTGATCTCAACCTATCTCAGCTTTACCTAACCTTACCTAACGTATCTCGACATAACCTTATCCTTACTAAAATTAATTTATAACCACGCCATTCAAATTGTGTGAAAAAAGTGATCGGGGACACACAAGTTTTTCTAAATCATTTTCTATAGTTGCAGAGTTGATTCTTTAACTCAGAACTCCTTAACCTTTACACCGAACCTGGTACAGTTCGGCCAAAACTTATGTGTGCGCGGACAGGTGGCTACTATCGGAAATAAAACATACAAGTACCGGTTATTGGCAGTGCTAGGGTTAGGGGAGAGTGTGGTGTGTAGTAAGACGCAAATGTTTTAACAAAAGTACCCCCGCCAAACCCCTCTCCTAGACCCGACCAGATCTGGTCGTGGCACAGAAACTTTTGAATGAACTATACGGTTGTACTTGAACTCTCCGCTCTCTTTCACGACGTCCTGTTATAGATTCTTATTTAGTTAATCTCAGTCAAATACTAATCTTCTTCTCATTAGACGACCTGTTTAAAGATCGGTGACTAACCTCTTGGACGACCAACAGACATGTTTTTTTTAAATCTCATATGCATCGTCTTTCAAACACCCATAGCACTCACTTGTATCAAACAGCTAGAAATAGCATCAGTGTTCTTTTAAAACACAGTCTCTTTGAACATAAAAGTAAATAAACGATAACAGCAATCTGACACATACTTTCTCCCATTAAGGTTGTCAACAACCTTTATCATGGGTAAACAATGAGAGTAACTATGATATTTTTAATTTACTAGCTGGCCCGACAGACGTCGTCCTGTCCTATTGTGGTTTTATGTCACATGCTCGTTCATTTTCAAGATGAGCTCGTTCGCATGGCTCAATCACGTCCTGGTTGAAGTTCGTTCGCTACGCTCACTCACCTTTAGGTTGGAGCTCGTTCGCTGCGCTCACTTGCCTTCAGGTTAGCTCGTTCGCTACGCTAACTCGCCTCCAGGTTGAAGTTCGTTCGCTACGCTCACTCACCTTTTGGTTGCAAATTAATTGTTCTCATAAATTAAAAATAAATATAGTGCTGCACCCTGTTGGTAAACCTATTAACTTTTTAATGCTATTGAAAATCACAGAAATCAAATTATTTAGTTGCACCAGCTGTTAAGATTATTTAATTCCATTTAAATATGAGTACTCATAAGGTTAACATGGGAAACTCCAGAGCCACTGGGGCGGAGCCCTATTGACGGATCTGCACCAAACTTCACACAAACCATCATTGAATAATGCTTAATAATGCCTGAAAGTTTCATTACAATCTTCAGTTTCATCCTTTAATTGATTTCTCTCAAGGGGTACATCAAAAAATACATTTACAAAATACAATTACTGTACATGCAAAATAACCAAGGTTGGTAAATAAGTTTTACTAATAACTAGGCAAATAAATAATCATATAAATATTAACATGCAATAAATAATTCAATAAATAACCAATAAATATCTCATAAATAAATACTGTATAAACATAGAATACCAGTAGAAGAACAATAAATATTTACACTGATAGCTGAGCCAACATTCAAAATTAATTATATTCAAAAAACATTAAAATAAAGAGATCCGCATTGAATTTTTAAACCATTACAATCTGTCGAGCGGTTTTGGAGTCCATAAAGGACAAACATACAAACATACATTGGATTTTATATATACGAGCTGGTGGCCCGTCCTACGTACGGGAATCGAGTTGTCAACTAAAACGGAATAATTCAGAACATCTAGTTTACACGCATAGACACAAATACTGACAGTTTTAGTGGGGAAGATCACCTTATAAACAAATGTAACGTGACCACCTATTTATTCCATTCGAATATAGACCTAAAATATGGCGATATGTATTTTAAATCCGATAATTTTACCATAAAACAGCATTTGTGTCGATTTGAAAAATCTTGAAGTGAGATTGGCGACCGATTCACACTGGTTTTGAGTAGAGTAGCTACATGCCACCTCCAATTGCATACTGTACTACTTATGTACTTACCGTACCTTATCTTACCTCCGTGACCACTGAAACTTTTATGAGGATTCTCTTCTATCACCTGCCTCTTCAAAATTTAGATCCCAGTCTGAGGATGCATTTCATAACTTGATATTTCCCGTCTATCGTGTGGTACTCCTTGGAATATACTTTTTAAAAGTTTATGCACAGCCTGTCCATCCAAGCTTTACATACTTCTGGAAAGCATCCCTATATTTGGGTGTTAACACATTTCTCTTTGATTGCACAAGGTTTCATCGGCAGGCATTGAGTCCTCTTTTCAGGAGGTCCTTGCAGGGGTTCCACAGGGGTCAGTTCTGGGTCCACTTTTATTTCTTATCTATATAAACGATCTGCCTAGCAATATTCCTTGTAAAACCATTCTATATGCGGATGACACTTCTTTTGTAGTTACCGATAAAGTGTTAAAAAATGTAAAAGCACACAGTGACAGAGTAATGGAATTAGCCAGTTCTTGGTTTAATGCTAACCACCTTACAGTCAATGCCAACAAGACTGAAACAATCTGTTTTACTTTGAAAAAATTAGACTCAGATGAAGATTGTAAGCCTGTTAGATTACTAGGGGTCACTTTAGATCAGAAGCTTACATGGGAATCTCACACCAACTCAGTAGTTTCAAAACTTTCAAGGGCTTGTTTTTTGCTACGTAAGCTACAACAATGTGTTGGTAGAAATATGTTATTAAATACTTATTTTAGTGATTTTCATTCCCATTTGCTGTATGCCACAATGCTCTGGGGAAATAGTAGAGGTGCTATCCATGTTTTTGCTTGGCAAAGAAAAGCAGTAAGGATTATAGCCAATCTACCTTATCAAGATGACTGTAAGCAATGTTTTATTGATTACAATATAATGACTGTCCCTTGCATTTTCATATTTCAAAATCTTGTATATTTAAAGGAAAACCAGAGTGATTATGTATGTTTTGAGAAAGTTCATAATTATAACACTAGAAGAGCACAAGATATTGTCCCACCCTCTTTTAGATTGCGGAAAACAATAGTCAGCCATAAATATCTACAAATCAAGTGCTTCAATAAATTGCCACCAGAGATCAGAAACCTTGAAATCCAACCATTCAAATCAAAACTGTCAAGCTGGTTTATAAATAAAGCGTTTTATTCTCTTGATGAGTTTTTAGCATATAGATTTTAACTTAATATTATTGAGCTTTGATCCAGTGATGCTTTGGTGAATAGTTGTAATTTATTTATTGTTAATTTTCATAGTTTATTTTGATTTGTTGCTAATTGTTAATTGTGATGTTTTATCTGTTATCCTGACAAGTACATTGTACTCATCTCCTTTTATACTGCACTTTAATGTATTTCTTTGACGTTGTCTATAGCAATGTAAATTGACAAATGACAATAAATGGATTCTTATTCTTATTCTTATTCTTATTCTTATTCTCTTAGCTCTCTGTTCTTTTTTATTTCGACCTCCGGGCCATTATCTTGAACTGGTCTGTATATTTTCTCTGCACTTTATTATCTAACCCATCATTAAGGTTTTTCGGTTCTTTGGTCAGTGCCCAAGTTTCTGAATCATCAGTACTACGGGGATAGTTGGTATGGTATGAGTCGATTTTGGTTTCTGCTGCACCCTGCAGTTTATTTAACAGTTTTATAGAGTCCTACTACACCGATTGACGCTTTCATTACTAACCAAAATTTTAGTATGCCGACATACTCACATTCAAACATACAGAAAAAGAGTACCAACACGTAAACCACCTATATCTTAAACAATTAAGCGATAAACTGCTGAAAAAATATTTCCCAAATATGAGTTTAAATTTGCAATGCATAGGATAAACTAAATACTTACACAGATTGCATTTACGACAAAACTTGATTAAACGCAAGTGTTTGGGATGTTTAGTTCAAAATAACACATTTCCCGATAACGCAGATCCTTCACGGTAAGGGAAAACTACCTACATTTTAAAGTGAAATAGTATGTAAGCATAGATAAAACGATGTAAGCAAACACCAACGAACAATATTTTTGTAAACAAACAACTCGTAACATAAACATTTCAATGACAGTTATAAACCAGCTGTTAGTTAAACCAGCATTGAAAATACTTTAAATTGCTAGCGTCGGCTGCTAGACTTTTTAAAAATTAAAGCTTAATTTCTAAAAAACTAAAATCCTAAACTAAAATTATGGCTTCGACATTCCCTAGTTCTCAAAATTATCTTTCTTTCAACACAAAAATCATGAAAATCCGTCGAGTGGTTGATTCAGAATCGTGAAATAAAAAAACACTGTTTCGTTTTAATATTATATATAGAATAGATAGATAAAATCACAAAAGTGTCATTAACTTTTGAACAGTAATTTTAACAGGAATGAAGGGATGCACTATTTTGTTTAGAATTATAAGAATTATAACAGAGAGTGTTAGTCCATATTTTATATCTAATGATAAAAGGGATTGCTTTATAGATCTATGAGGCATAGCCCTAAGGTAGGCCTGTAATTATTGTAAGTTACTTTTCACACTGGTTAAAAGTAGTTATAATACTACCTCAACCTCACTACTGCACACTTTATTCGGGTTGAAATTTTCATTAACAAAGGTGCACTTGTCTTTTCCACGAAACACTAAGAAAGGACATTAATGTGTTACCAACACACAAAATTGAATTAGGGAATTTGCTACGCTTTAACCAAAGCAAATTACAAACAAAATAATTATTTGTAAGTTTTGATGTTTTGTGTCATCAAATGTTATGATAATCGTTTTTAGGCCTAATCAAACTGTAAAATTGGTGTAAATCCGTTGGCAAATATACTTGGTGGCGTTTGCAGAGGCATCCACAAAAATGAGCGGAGTCATCAAGGGTTCATATTATATTGTTTTTGCAAAACTGCAGTAAAAACAGTGGTTTTTAATGCATGCGTTGCGGGTCTAAAGTAGCATTTTTACTCTTTAGGGAGTAAAATTCGTTTTTAGCCTCTATGGAGTAAAAATCAGCTGTTGTCAACTCAGTTGTAAATTTCTATTGTAAACGATTGCATGTATCGATACATGTATCGATTCGTGCTTCGTAATAATTTTAACATACAGTCTACAGTCTCTTCCCATAGCATTTTAGCATTGCAGATACCATCCATTCCCACACTCAACACTGCTCACCTTTACTACTTCCTTCACCATCCCCTAAGTCGTGGACCTGTTTCCCTCTCTTCCCATAGCATTTTAGGATTGCAGATACATTAATGTAATTGCCAAAGACAGATCCTCCACTCTGCACTTCCAGCCTTTACTACTTCCTTCACCACTTCCTATGTCATGGGGCCTGTTTCCTTCCCCTCTCATAGCATTTTAGGATTGAAGATACATTAATCTAAGTGCCACAGACGGTTCTCACAATATGCTCATACTTTACTACTTCCTCAGCCACTTCCTATATCGTGTACCTGTTTTTATCACTTTCCATAGCATTTTAGTATTTTAGATACGTTAATCTAATTGCCTACACTCCGCACTAATAAATACACAGTCCACAAAACATCAACGTTAACAACGCCAAGCTTTAAAAATTCAAAAAGTGGTTTGCTTAAAAAATCTTTCAATAATGTTTTATCATTTTCATAGCATAAACTAACATTTTGGAATCCAGACAGAAAACGCAAAAATTATACAGCAAGACATCAATTAAATTTAATAATAAATAAGGTGCAACACTATAACGATAACCCCCAGTGGATGTGTTTGTACCAAAAACCAACGTTAACATTTAATAAAAGAACTATAGTACTTACGACCAATTCAAACTGTCCTTCTAAACAAACTGTATTATAGGTGTTAATCCGTTGGCAAATATATAAATAAATAAATACAAAGGCCACAAAACATGTAACATGTAACGTTAACAACGTAAAGCTTTAAAAACTCACTATGGTTTGCTCAAAAAACTTACACTTGATGTGGTGCAGTACCAAAGTTATTAATCTCCCTTGGTTTAATTTTTTTTTAAGTTTTTGAAAATCAAAGTTATTTCTCATTAATAGGATTATTTGTAAGCAACTTTTAATGTTAACATATTAATGACAGTTTGAAGAAACCACCTTTATCTAAACAAAGGTTTCTTATTTAAAATATTACCGGTACGTAATCTCTAAACGATAATCGGTACATATATCTAGCAAACATTCGGAGGAAATGTGACAAAAAACGCAAAAATCTGAGGTTTTGGACGTTTGTAGTTTTACTTCCTAAGTTGGAAAAGTACCAATATCGTTGTCGAAATGTAAGTAAGTAGAAACCAAAAGTGACACATTGGAAAAGCAAGTTTCGCTACATCTGTAAGGTAAACCTCTGTTACGATCACAGCAAAATTAGAAACATCTTCCAAGATCGCAGCAACATCCTCGATCACCCACTGCAGTTGTGATTTTTTACTTTGCACTTTACACAACTGTCCTTGAAGCGCCGTCAATGAGTGGAAACCTTTTTGTAAGCTATTGGTGACGATGATTAAAAAAATGTAAGTTTCCCAGCACTGATACAACACTGCTTCACGGTATTTTCCCCGGTTATCAAAACTCAAGAACAATCGTTGCACTTGCGATTAATTAAACCGGTTAAGTAAGGCACAACGTTTTTAATCTCACTTGGTTTGGATGTGCTAACAAAACTTGATCGGAAATGGTTGCGGTATTTGTAAACAACTTTTAATGTAAACATATCAGTGACAGCTAGAAGTGAGAACTAATCCAAACAGCTAATTGTTATTTCATAAAATGTAATAGTAAACATTAGGAGAAAATTTGACAAAAATCAAACAAAATTGGGGTTTTGATGGTTTGTTATTTTGTTTTCAAGGAAGCGAGGCCATGTTATAGCCAAAAACACTCTCACCAATCCAGTAAATACAGACAAATGATTAGAATCTTGATTGGTACTCTTAGTTTTCTAGGAGTAGGCCACGTAAAATTACATTTGGGCGTCACAGACGGAACCACAGAATGGACAAACAAACAGACATACAGACAGAAATTGAGATAAGACTCGTTTCGGCTTTCTTAGGCTATGAAACGTAAAAATAACCAAAAACTGCACGATTCTAAGCAATGTACAGACAAAACTGTAATTTTATCTATATAGATGACATTTAGTTTAATGGCACCATTAATTGATAGTCCAATGACAAATGGCATCAGACATTAGTTCAAAACAATAATAAATAAAAATAATAAGAAACAGATACCAAGGGTTATAAAGGCCACTTTAAAAATAACAATAAATTTATTTGGTCATGTTATGTGAAAAATATCAGATTCCATATAACTTTGGATATATGATATGCGCTACCATTGACTACGGAATTGTCTTCAATATTAGTTATGGATTATACCATAGATAAAACCATAAAACATTACTTGTGTTGTTTAGTCTATGATTATACTTTCAGGTAGTTAGAAACTTACAAAAAATATTGGAAAAACTTCATATTTTACATCTTTGGGTTGGGGATAACTTAACACTGAATAAAAATAAAACAGCTGTTACATCTTCTAGAGCAAAGGTAAATCAAAGCTATTACATTATTAAAATAATTTAAAAATTTAAATAGAATATCGTATGATATATTTTCAGAAACAATCTAAGAATTCTCTACAGAAGTCATTACTAAGCAATAAAAACAAAATTTACTGAAATGTTTATAATTGTTTACTACAACTGATACAATTATTTTTCTGGCTTTTGCACTTTTAAGTGCATTTCAAGACTTCTTCTTAGTCTCACTTCCAACTTTAAGATATATTTGAAGATGCATTTTTGAGTACCGGTACTATAACAACACTGTCATCAACAAATAATTGAGAATTATATGATAAATAACTACTTTACCTATAACATTATAATACATGTGATTTAAATAACTACTTTACCTATAACATTATAATACATGTGATTTACATTCTTATCAAGATATTCTTTTGCATAGCCATACAAATTTCTAGCTTAGGCACAGTTTTTCAAATCACATAACAAGATGACATTAATTTCGGGAGCTTACTTATAGAGATAATTGATAAAAAAAAATGTTATACAAAATGTCTATTTTGTTGAAAGAATGGTGCAGTGCTAAAAATTAGTGATGGTCAAAACCAGAAATTTTGAATCTCAAAACCGAAACCGAAACTTTTAAAAATCGAATCCCGAATCTCAAAACCTAAACGCGAAACTTTTTTACTTAGCTGGTTACAAAGGTCAAGGTTACAAAAAATACAGGTAATAATAAAATGTTAAGTATGCAATCAAAACTAAAAGAGATCGACTCTTGACCCTGACATATCATAAATATGTGACTGATAATCTTAAATAAAACCCAATAAAACATTTTTTTATAAACAACCAACATGAAAATAAATAAAACTCCTAACACCAACATAAATATGAATATTAGATTAATTATATCATATAGTGGTAATATTTCTTTGGGTTTAATAAATATTGATATGAAACTGAATCGCACAATCCTTCCAGTTATAGTATTTAAGATGCTTTTTGAAGTTCAGATTAGCCTAAAATTTACTTGTTTCATTACTGTTGATGGTGATGTTTGTCTATTGCTACGAGCTTGTGAGGAGCAGTGTTTAACCCTCCGAGTGTCCCTTGTTTTGGCCTTAATGTCTGCCTATTTTTTGCTCATTTGCAAGGTTTTATTAAAACGGATCTGAGAAGCTTGAAAACAATGTTAATTATACTGTTCTATATACCATTTTGTTTGGAAAATCATGGGCTTCAATATTATACATAGAACATAAGGAACATTTGTTTCAAAAAAAATTTTTAGGTAAAAAAAATATTTTGGAAAATTTTCAAAAAAAAAAGTTTGCGCTCAATGAAATTGTATAAATTATAGGCCTATAAATATTTAAAAATAGCCACTTTGTTCTAAATTCTATGATGATTACAAATATATAATAATATAAGGAAGTAGATTTGCAAATAAATAAGTTATGGGCAAAAAACAGATTTCAGTGCATAGCGTTTAGCTAAGAATGCATAGCCTAACCATAGCTAGGAATCTGGCTGATAATTTACATCAATATCACTACCTACTTCTTCAGGATCATCAACCAGCCCTTCAAAATCACTTAAATCTTCTTATAATGCACCACGTATATCACTACTTTTGATTTTTAACACTAAAACAATGATAAACGTAATAAAACACATCAGTCATCGGTCCGAGGCACTGAGCTATAATTCTAACTGGAGGTAGCACTGAATGTCAAAGATGCGTGTCGCCAGCCGCCATGTGTGCGTGAGGTGTGAGTTAAAAAGAAGCCATGTTATTGGATAAGAAAACTCACTGCTATACCAACCTAGTTATAGAAGCCATGTTATTGCTATAATAAGAAAACTCGCTGCTATACCAACCTAACAAAATCAGCGACACGCTTTTGACAGACTTCTGCCATGGCGGTGCTACCTCCAGCTATAATTTTAGCTCAGTGGTCCGAGGGTAACCTAGCTGTTTACAAATACGCACGTCAGCTGTCTGCTACAATTACGATCGGCTCGGAGAACATAAAGCGCTTAGAGACAGACCTCTGGAGAAAGCTTAGAATCTAACGAAAAGAACGATACCTAACTCGATCCAGTTCAATCCGATTTTGTCAGTCATAGAGCCTTCGCCGTAAACAGTGTTTGTGAGTCGCTGCAGCGACACAAAACACTACACAAAGTGTGTTATGTGTCGCTGCAGCGACAAATAACACTCGGAGGGTTAAAAAAATAATAAAGACAACAAATAATTTCAGCAGTTTCAAAAAACACTGCAAAAAACTTCAATTTCGAAACTTTTGAATCTCAAAACTCGGTGATCGAATCTCGAAACCGAAACTTTTCCCAAGTTTTGATGGTTTTGAGATTTGGTTTTGACACATCACTACTAAAAATATAGTTTAAAAAAGTGTTTTACGACTCTCTCACAATTTTCAGTGCTTCGGGTCGGTACACTTAAGCTTAGGTCAAGCAGATTCCTTTTAGGTTCTAGTGATTAAATGTACTATTTATTTAAGTACTTTTTAATATAGGTAGGAGTAATATTTCCAGAAATTTGTATGACGAATTGCAGTTGAGGATCCTGATCATTTAACATTATTTACATTATAATTTATCACAGTAAGGAGAAGGATTAAGCCTAAAGAAATAATAAGCATCGCTAGGAACTGTTTCATAGAAATAAACATAAAATTGTTATAACTCATACTACAGTAACAATCAGAGAAAGTAAGAATTCATAAACTGAACTATAAACTCTATTTCATACTTTTACTTTATCCTAAATTGATGTGCTATGCTTAATATTAAAAATTCATTTTGAACAGAGCTGCCTAATTAACTTTTAGTAATTTAATTTGAACTATAAATTGGAAAACACTTTCTTAATAACCATTATTTTTAAAATTATAAAACAGTATATTTTTTTTACATGAATACTTTTTAATACTTTTTCAATGAAATGGCGACCATACAAAGTAGGTATTTTAAGCCAAGTATAAATGGAGATGAGTGTAGAATAAGTGGCGCGATCTTGTAGTCTTGTTAGTGACTGAGGCCGACATATTCCTTAGACACAGCTTTTTAATTAATAGTTAGTTAAAAGGCTAGTTAATTAATAGCCTATACAGCTAATGGCAACTAAGGGACCTACAGTTTATAGTGGAATCCGAACCACTGTGGAGTATCGCATCCACAGTGCATGCCTATAAATATCCACAATTCGTAACCTCCTACTAGCTGGATTGCAGGACGACGCCACCCGTCCCAGTCAAAGAAATTATAAGGCCGTCATATCACCTTAAAAATCAAATAAACTATGTAAGACCTTAAAAGGGATAAGAGTTCAGCTAGCATACCTGAGAAAATCAGAGTATAGGCCTTTTAAATAGATTCATACAAAAATCACACAACATAACCCTAGAATTCGGTCCATACATGGGACATTTTCGAACAGTAAACAGCATAGGTGAGAACTCCTCCAGCAGAAGTCCTTAAATAAGATAACATATCAGGGTTATGAAATATGACAAGACTAGATTCGATTTGAAATACAATTACAACACTATGACCGGTTATATCCTAACCAAGCTTTAACACTTTGCAAAAACAATAGGAGCGTTTCATAAAGTCCAAATTTCACAAAGTCCAACGGTTAAAATATTAAATAAACAGAGCGTTTCACAAGGTCCAAGTTTCATAAAGTCCAAAACTATAACATTCAAATAATCACCGTTTCACAATGTCCAAATTTCACAAAGTCCAATGTTAAAAAATCAAATAAACAGAGCGTTTCACAAGGTCCAAATTTCATAAAGTCCAAAACTATAACATTCAAATAATCACTGTTTCATAATGTCCAAATTTCACAAAGTCCAACGTTAAAATATCAAATAAACAGAGCGTTTCACAAGGTCCAAATTTCACAAGGTCCAACGGTACAGTCTGGGCCGGAAGTCGCTGCAGAGGTTGCCGTGGTTCGGTATGTAGGCACTACACTACCTAGTGTTGTTGCCACGCGTCACAAAACATCATTGTGGGTCCGTAGATACGTTGTAAAGTAATGGTATTCACCTCCTCCGCGGCAAACCTGCAGACTAATAGATTTTCCATTTCCCTTATTTGATTTACACTAGAATATCTCCTTAAAATCATCACATGTATTCCCTATTTAAATAGCATTAGTTTATAAAGTACCGTACTTAGGTTTGCTGCAACAGGGAGTAATCAGTAATCAGTAGTTGAGCGCCGGCGGACGGTGCCTGCTATCTGACCGTGGCAACCACTGTAGAGACTTCTGGCCCAGACTGTACCGTTGGACCTTGTGAAACGCTCTGTTTATTAATATTTTAACCGTTGGACCTTGTGAAATTTGGACCTTGTGAAACGCTCTGTTTATTAATATTTTAACCATTGGACTTTGTGAAATTTGGACCTTATGAACCTCACCAAAAACAATCCTAAATCAGTCATATCACTTTATATTGAAAGATAATCTAAATAAACAATGTAGTGCATGTATAGTGATTTACACACTTACTAAAATCTATATCCCCATACCGCAGCAAAAACAGCCATTTTTTTATACGTGCATTGCGGGTCTAAGCATTTTTACTCCCTAGGGAAATTTTGATAGTGCAATCGTATCGATTGAAATTACAGTATTATCGATTGACTTATTAATTGTTTTAAATGGTTTTAGTATATTGTTGTCGTTCGCTCGACATATCAATGACTGTAACATAATCGTAATAAACTAAATGATTAAATCACTTACTGAACAGCTGCTTATTTTTAGCAGAATTGAAGACAAGCTGGAAGTTGTTTTGAGAGGTTATCTTATTTCCATTTCTAGCTTAGTTTGTTAATTTAATGATACAATATGACAAAAATATAGTTCACCACATGTACAACTTGACCTCTGGTTAAAAAGAATCACTTTAGGCCCTAGTGATGAAATATACTATTTTTATTTTATACATCCAAAAAGTGTAATGATGATTTTGGCTTAAAGCACAGCCTAATTTAGCAGACCTAAACACTTTTTAGCGAAAGAAATTAGGAATTCCATAGTATAATATCTAGTTTAATGTTAGGATTTTACTCTTATGTTAGTTGTGCTGTAATAGACATAACCTTTAAACATAATAAGAGCTACATTTACTTCATATTGACACAAGTTACTTAATTACTATTTGTAAATTCAAGTTTTGGCTATAATAGTCCAAAACGTACATAAAAGGTGGGAATAAATTTATCACATACGAGTACTATCTTAAATATTTTAAGCAGTTAAAATTTCCTTTCAAACAAAAATCAACATGTGATGGATTACACTGGCTACTGAAAACAATTCAGTATTAAAAAAAACTTTGTGCAATATATATTGTGCAAAACTATAGACAATTATAATAAATATAGAATGTCAAAGAAAGGTTGCGGTGTCCACCGCTAGGAGTGCCGTGTAGTTACGGCGCACACCGCTGCAGGCGAGAAGCGCAGGAGTCGTATGTTACCGTCAGATGCTGCAGCCGTGTGCGCCGTAACTACACGGCACTCCTAGTGGTAGGCGCCGGAACATATGCTAACCGCAGCACTGCTGATGGTCTATATTTATTCTATTTGTCTATGGCGAAACAGACCGGTTTAATTCCATTAAATTAAGTTTATGTTAGTAGAAAACTACTGTTCAAGCACCTTTTTCAAAATGAACTAATGTAATAACAATTTGACTACATTTAACCTACCTAGTATGTTTAACATGATAAGTTTAACACAAGGAAAACATACTCAATAAACATATGAGCCTTTTAGCCAAAATATCCCTGCATGCACAGGCCTGTTTCATTCAAAGACCAGGTAGTCTTGAGCTATACAAAATGTCAAAAGAAAGGAACATTCTCTAGCAGAGTATAAGTAACTGAGCCACAAATAATTTACATCCTTATAAATTGCATATGAAGAAAACAAATTACAAATACTTGTCAATTGCAAATTGTCCTTAGAGGTTCATGTTTAGGCCTATTGTAAAACATAACTGAAGAGAGAAAGTAATAAAACATTCTTTCCTAATTACCTTATTCTCAAAATTCAACTACACGTTGATTTGGAAAGCTGTTTTAAGAAAAAATAAACTAAACACTTGCTAACAAAGAAAAATAAACTTTTAATGAACAAAACAATATTTTTAAGAATAATACTTACTAGGCTTATCACAATACTTTACTCTTCGACAATAATGGTTTTTGCTGAAGAT